TCCCACATACAGATTTCTCAGGAGATAGATAAGGTGGTCAGGTACTCCCATTTCTTTAAGGACTTGCTATAGATTGCTGTGGTCCACACAGTCAAAGGCTTTTGCGTAGTCAATGCATAATCCCCTTCACGGATTGCTGGCTTGTCGTGGTGAAGGGGCTTCAGTTATTCAGATAAGTTATGGGCTACGCCATGCAGAGACACCCAAGATGGACAGGTCATAGTGGAGAGTTCTGACTAAACACAATCCACCTGGAGCAGGAACTGGCAAGCCACTGCAGTATCTTTGCCAATAAAACTCCCTGGACAGAAACAAAAGGCTAAAAGAGCTCCTTAAACATGTGCAAACCGACTGACACTAATCCTGTGGAACTGTTTGAATTTTTCCTTCTGAGTGGTAGGTCCTGAACCAAACTACCTCTGGATCCACCCTTCATTTAAAAAAATGCTTACTTTGGAGACATGAAAAACTGAAATTAAATGTTGACCTTCCAGACATAAGAAAACAGTTTCAGAAATCCAGGCTAATGTAGATTACATTGGTAGCACAGCTGGAGATCTCACCAAATATACTAGAAGACAATTTTATTGCTATTTAGGCATTACAATTGGGTACACTCACCATCCAAAATGGGACCACACTAGTCCCATTCTTTCAGGTGGTTTTGGACTCTCAATCCTAGAATTCTCCAAGAAATTCAACCCCCAAACACACACCTACTCATATAGAGAAGGGTCTACCTCTGACAGTGCATGACCTTTTTCAGCTTTACTTCCTGTTGTGAGTCACAACTTCACTGCCCGTTAGGTCCTATAGAGAGTGCATCCTAAAGAACTACAGCTCCCAAGACACACCAAAACAAATGTGTCTCCTTCTCTCTCTCTTTTTCCTTTAACAACAGGAAGCAAGGACAGAAAAGATCAGACAGCCTCAGAGACAGACTCTTCTTCAGGTGAATGAAATGTAGGTATCTGTAGGCATATGTTTGTCTGCTGCCCTGGGGAATTCTTGGAAAATTCTGGGAGTTGGAGTTGAAAAAACAGGAGAAAGCCCATCTCTAATTACAACTGGAAGTATAAGTAGACGCAGTACCCTTAGTAAATTAACTATCATACAATGAAATTGAAATTGAGTTCATAATGACATAAGGAATCCAAAGTCAAACCTGTAGAGGAATGAGGATGGAAAAAATGGAGTTACTACCACCACCCCCTTTTCAAAGTAAAAATTACTGACATTTTGGAGAGATCACCCATGCCATGTTTGAAATTAGAACTGCCAAATATTTGCTAGCTGAAATAGCCATTATTGTTTTCATGTCCCAGTAGGCCAAAGCACATCATGTAATCTGCCCTGCTGCCAGTGATGCTAATATATTTATTTCTGCATATTTTTGGATAATACTCCCTGTATTATGTGTAAAAATGTTTATGAACAACAGCAACTTCAGTGCCAAGTACCCTGTTCCCAAATCTCTGTTTAACATGCAGCCTGATTAAGCGTTCTGGACAACCTGAAAGCTTAGTCAACCATTGGGGTTGGTCCCAATACCAACATTGCAATACGGTGACTTTGGGAGTTTTTCCACTCAGTGGACTAACACAGTTATTTGAAGTGCTTGAATTATTTGAGAGTAGCAACCTCTAGTATGTTGAATAGCAAACTATATCCTAGTACAATGGTTCTCATACTTGAGTCTGCAGGCATTCTTGAACCAATACAGTGGTGCCTCGCTTAACGAGCGCACCGTACAACGACGAAATCGCATAGCGATCCCTTTTTTGGGATCGCTAATGCGATCGCTCAACGACGATTAGATAGGGCGAAACTCGCTTTGCGAAGATCGGTAAGCGTTTCGCTTACGGATCTTCGCAAAACGAAGCCCCGACAATCAGCTGTTCGGCAGCCAAAATGGCCGCCGGAAGCCCCAAAATGGCCACACGCAGCGTTTTCGCGCCCTCCCCTCACTTAACGAGGGCACAAAAGTGCCTGCCGGCCATAGGAAGCATCGCTGAACGGTGAATTTTCGGCCCATTTGGAACGCATTAAACGATGTTTAATGCGTTCCAATGGGGTTTTTTGATCCGTTCAGCGATGTTTCGCTATAGCGAAGGTTAATACAGAATGGATTAACTTCGCTATACGAGGCACCACTATACTTCCCAGAAATCTTAACTACTAGCTGTGCTGGCCAGAATTTCCGAGAGTTGTAGTCCAAGAGCATCTGGGAACCCAAGACTGGGAACCACCACTGTCCTAGTGTATTCAAAAGTGAACATTATCTAATGAGCGTAGCAGCTGTGGGCCTCAAAGCCTGAGTCAGCTGGTTTTAAAGATGACATGGTCAAAACAAAATTAAAGCCATACGAGTATGATTCAGTATTTTACCTTGATTTACAGATAACTGAAATAAGACACTCTGATGATAAGTGTGTTACTGTAAAAGATTTTCCAGATACACAAGAACTCTGTTCATACATTAACCAATAGTGCTGTTTTTTTAAAGTTCAACTCATATTTAGTTTCCACAATTGGATGTATAGCAAATATTTTTATGATGGAAAAGGGGTTGCAAGAGCAAACCTTCACCCTTAATCTCCCCTTGTCCACTTGACATTTGTGTAGCCTTTATTATCCATATATGAATACTTTTTTCAGAAGCTGTGGACAATGTGTTTTAGAGGTGGACTGAACAGGTGGACTGAACAGTTTTAGTAATGGAGCAGAAAAGTAAGTGAAGTGCACAGATCAGGGACTACAACTCCTGGATTCTTGCAGTAAACAGGACCACGTAGGCTGGGTGATCCTGGGGGTCTAGTCGAAAAAAGCAACTACAGTACTGTGAGGTCTGTGTAAGAATATGAATGGACTGTTGCTTACTACTGCAATACTGCTTTCTTTTCCTCCTCCTACTCATCCATACTACAAATATACAAACACTGTTTCAGTATTTGCCATTATTTGTGTCAAACAAAGAAAGTCAGATTTCAAGAAGGGAATACGTTCCTGTATCTCATCACCCTTTTGAGACTCAAACACTGTACTTCAGGCTGGTCTATACAGATCCTTAGGACAACCCACACCACATCTATTGTGTCATCAGATCACCATAGTCTCTCCTTTTTCCCCCCAGCCAGAATCTTATCTACAAGGTACATCACATTTTGCCTTAGACACAATATCCAGCAAGAATTTCCTCTGGTCATTCTAAATAATGTCTTCAAAGACAAAATGAAGCACTTGGCTTTGACAGAATGATACAGTGGTGCCTCACTTAATGACGTTAATTTGTTCCAGCGAAATTGCTGTAGAATGAAAACATCGTAAAGCAAAAATAAAAAACCCACTGAAACGCATTAAAACCTGGTTAATGTGTTCCAATGGGCTAAAAACTCACCGTCCAGTGAAGATCCTCCATACGGCGGCCATTTTCAGTGCCTGTATAGCGAGGAATCCATCCCTAAGCACAGCGGGGAGCCATTTTGAGCACCCAGCAGCCATTTTGAAAATCCAACGATCAGCTGTTTTGATCGTCGTAATGCGAAGAATCGGTTCCCGAAAGAGGGAACCGATCATCGCGCAGCGAAACTCCCCCATTTAAAACATCGGTTTGCAGTTGCAATTGCGATCACAAAAACATCATCGTGAAGCATATTCATCATAATGCAGGGTAATCGTTACGCGGGGCACGACTGTACCTATATGTGCCTGGTCAACCTATTAATTTGGAGAGAAACAGTTCTCATTGCATTATATGCAGGTCTTACTGATGTTTCCTCTTATGCCAATGTTGTGAAAAGAGTGAGTTCATCCAAAATGAGTTTGAAAGAAATAAATATGGAAAAAAAGTAATTTGGACTTAATAACGTCATAGTTTGGATATGCAATTTTAGTACTCTCTCTTTTGGACACAGCACTTGTATATTATAAATTAAGATAAATCAGCAGAAAAATATGCTCTTCCAACAACAAACATTGCACTTAGAAATATCTACAAAAGTGAATTAAACATCTGGTTCATGCCTTGTGAATTCCAAAATAAGCTTCAGCTCATTTTTTTATGTACAAGACGACAAATTATTTATTTTTAATGGTTATGCAACTAAGTTGCACTTTAAAATATCTGCCTAATTCAGTAAAAATTAAAAATAGTTCTGGGCTTTTATATACACATCACAGTATATGGTGCTTTAGCAACAAAAGGCACAGTTATCAAGCAAAAAAAAAAAAAAAATACAGTACCTGGATTTAAGTGATTTGTACTTGTAAATAAAAATTATTTAGAATATAGAAAAGCTTCTATAATACCCATAAGCCAGATCAGAAATTTGGTCCATTGTATCTTCCTTTTTTGCATCAAATATTTGAGAGTGCAAAGATACAAGAAAAACAAACTTTTCCTTTGTAGCAATCTGTGGTCCAAGGAATCAAATGGCCTAAACTGACAGAACTTTGGGGTCGGCTATAAACATATCTGTTTTAACATGTCCAAATAAAGAGAGGTACATTTATAGTCTGTGGCATCAACAGTATATATGCATACATACACGCACACAGTATACATTTTGTTACAACAGTAAGACTCAACATGGCATTTTCCTGAAGGTCTAGGTCTTTATCTTGGTATCAAAATTCTGAGCTCTCTTTACCTGCCATGTGTTACTTTCACAGAAGCAGTACAAGACCATACTTCTGCATTTCTCCAACAGTGTACCTTTTCTTATATATTAACCATCCACCACCCTTCCCACATAAGGAAAACACCTGCATCAAGACAGTCCCATTACATGAAAGAGGGCAGGAATCAAGAAAGCCAGTGAGAATCCAACCATCCCATAGGTAAAATAGCGATAAGGCAGTTCAACTTCCATGCGCTGCCGGGCTTGTTGAATATTACCACAAGGTACATTGAATATTTTACAGGCCAGTGGAATGGTGATTTTCTTCATGCCCGTTTTTACTAGTAACAGAAGCACCACTCCAATCAATAACCGCAGCATGGCTTTTCCGACGAGAGTCACAGTCAGGGAGGGTGTCACCAATGGAAACATCTCTGGTGGAAGATCTGGCATTAGGCCCAGCAGGTAGTTAACATGAGAGCCACATGCAACTCCAGCACCACAACCCAAGATCTGAGCTGTGTCCCCTCGGGATGTGCTCCAGGTATCTAGAGTGAAGGAGAAAATCCCCAAGGCAAGATGAAGACTGATGATAATAAGTGGTGCATACTTGCAGGTTACGTTGAACCTGTCAACTAGGTCCACAGCTGGAAGGAAGACAGCCAAGATGAGAACAGCATAAAAGAACCCAGCAATCACATCCTGTTACAAAACAGAGAAAGAAGATGAGAATAGTTTAGTACTATTTTAAGGATTATTACATATTTATGAGATAAATTAGGTATTTTTCAAACTCCCCTAACTCCGAGCCATCCTTTGTATGGCCAACATTTTAAAAATAAGATATACAAAAGGAAATATCAGTGACCACACCCTATAAACAGGATCAATGTTGCTCTTTTGAACAGAAGAGTCTGGGTGGTAGCAAGTAACTCCTCTGTTAAACTTCCTGCAAGTATATAAAACTGCAAAAAATTTTGCTGATTTGCCAATGCAAATTGTAAGCAATTTCAAATGTGTATAAATAAAACATTTTTTGCTGTTTTACTTGTACTGTAGACACAGAAATAAATCTCTTAACCTTGAAGGTGCTTTTATTTTCATTTTTGCTGTTCATGCTGAAATAGAATAACAATGACTTTGTTGGAATCTCCAAAACAGAAAGAACCTAAAGTTACCTGTAACTAATTTGGAAATGGAGGGACATCTGCCAAAGATTATTTTATGCTTATTTTCTCCTACAAAAAAATTCTCCCTCTAAATACCTAGATGTTCAAGCTCCAAGAACTAGTCCAGACTTTGGGGGAATTAACATATGATCAATTGATGGATACAAGAAGGATTAAATATCCTCCTGAATACTAGTTCCCTCAAATATGCTCCACACCTCCACACAGTTCCCAAGGGAAAATCTGAGCAACAAATCTGATTATGTCTGTGTGCAGAAATCAGCCAGAAGAGGGATATGCTTGGGGATACTCCTCTATCCTGCTCTATCACCAAGACACCCAAGTAGACTTACCGTATTTTTCCATGTATAAGATGATACTTTTGTCTAAAATCTGTAGACTAAAAATTGAGGGTTGTCTTATACACGGAAGTAAGCTGAGGAAAGAACAGAAACAAGTGCAGGGGAAAGCAGGGATCAAAGCAGGACTGCGGCACTTTGATCCCTGCTCTCTCCTCCACTTGCGAAGTCCCACGGGGCTTAGCAAAAGGAGGGGGGGAAAGCAATCCCACAGCTGCACAAGGGGGGAGAGGGATCAAGGTGACTGTGGAGTCGCAGTATTGCTTTGATCCTTTTCCTCCTCCACTTGCTAAGCCCCGCTTAGATTTCTTAATTTTGGGTCAGGAAAGTGGAGGTGTCTTATACATGAGGGCATCTTATAAACTGAAAAATACGGTACTGGCATGGAATGCCTGCCTGCATCATTTCAGTGGGTTGAACTTAATGGCCTTATAGGCCCCTTCCAACTTCACTATTCCATGCAGTGGTAACTTTTCATTTAAACTACTGCAATTACGTTGGCTTGGGCATTGGCTTGGGCATGTTGTGAGAATGGCTGACAGTAGGATTCCAAAAGATAGCCTGAATGGAGAGTTAATGCAGGGGAAGCACCCCAGAGGGAGACCACAGCTGTGACACAAGGATATCTGCAAGTGGGATATGAAGGCCTTAGGAATGGACCTCAACGGATAGGAAACCTTGACATCTAGCGTTCAGCCTGGAGGCAGGCAGTGCATCATGGCCTCTCCCATTTTGAAGAAACACTTCTCCAGCAGGCAGAGGCCAAGAGGCAGTCACGAAAGCAGCAAAATCAGGGAGCTAGACAGGGGACAGACTGTATTTGCCTTCAGTGTGGAAGGGATGGTCACTCTCAAATTGGCCTTCTCAGCCACACTAGACGTTGTTCCAAGACCTCTACTCAGAGCACGTTACCATAGTCTCTCGAGACTGAAGGATGCCTACTCAGACTGCAATGTGGTATATGTGGGCCTGTTCTTAAAGACAACATGGCTGTTATTGGTACCTGGACTACACACAGAAAGACCTTCGAGAATCCATACAACACCAGTTCGAAAAGAATTGTACCAGCTGTCAATATTTTTTCCTTGCGTTCAGGCTGTTGAAAATAAGTATCCAAAACTTAAAACAGCTTGAATCTGACTACTTAAAGGAGTGATTCTCCCTCCATAGAACTTGCTGATCATTAGTTTCTCTTTTCTTTTTTGGTGGACAAACTACCCACCATGTCGCAACTACATTGACACAGAAGGCTATAGTACAAGGGGGTGCAGACTGCTTGGTGAGTCTTTGTTTGAAGAGATGGGAGAACTACCCACAATGTCGCAACTGCATTGACACAGAAGGCTACAGTACAAGGGGGTGCAGACTGCTTGGTGATTCTTTGTTTGAAGAGATGGGACATAAGCTCTACTAGAGGAGGAGTTTCATACACCCCAAAAACAAACTGTCTGCATGCTGCTCAAGAATGCACACCCCAACAAACTGTCTGCATGCTGCTCAAGAATGCTTGGCTGGTAGGAACAACTATCACACCAAGAAACTCTGAAAATAGCCTGATTAATATGGATATATTACTGCCGAAAGCTTGCAATCCACTTGATTTTTTTAGTTGTCCAAAAAAAAGTATTGCCTGCTTCTGTATAGCACTGTGGTTTTTTGAGGGGGACCCCACAGCCTGTAAATGATTTTTCCATGGACACGTGAAATGACTTTCTCAACGCTAGCACACTGGTGGGGGAATCTGTCTTCCCTTTGCTGTCCTGTCTGGCACACATATTGCCTTTATATTCAGTTCCAAGTTAAAAACTGCCTGTTTCCCCAGAGCTGTTAGGATCTATGAAGATGATAGCTCAATCTCTAATCCTTCAGTCTTCTTTTTTGCTTGTTTGTTTTAAACATTTTTTTTTATTTATCCTTCCCCTACAGCTACTGATATAGATCAGGTTAGAAATATTTAAAAAAAGAAATAAACAGATAAACATTCTTATCCCTTGTCTTTTGCCATCAAACAATGGATGTTAAATATAAAAGCAAACGTTTTAAAACTGGTTAAGTCTCCATTATGGCTGAACTCAAGAGAGTGTGATTTATTATCTCAGCTCACTAACTGCATATAATTTAAACATGGGTTGGGCAGCTTTTGTGTTAAAGGCCATATTCAGCCTCACAAAAGCAACCAGTGATTACATATCACCAATGACTGAAGAGCCAACAGCAAAAGTAGACACAGCCTTAATCATTCTCTTTCTCTCTCTCTCTTCTGCAGCCAAAGAGCATGCCATCTGGCACATTAATTCATGCATCTTGCACTTCTTAAGTTACAAACAGGCCAGATGAAGTTTAACAATCATTTCACAAAGTGGCAGGGACTATGGTTAGTCTAAATCCAGAAGCAGATGCTTGCTTGCTAGCTGGTTTGTTTATACCCCACCTTTCTCCTTGAAAAGGACCCAATGCAGCCTACGACTTTGAAAGACAATATTTAAAGTTGAAAATAGTGATTATACAGTACAACGGTGGTTAATAACATTAAAACACAATACAGTGGTGCCTTGCATAACGAGCGCACCGTTTATACGCCACCTTTCTCCTTGAAAAGAACCCAATGCAGCCTACGACTTTGAAAGACAATATTTAAAGCTGAAAACAGTGATTATACAACGGTGGTTAATAACATTAAAACACAATATTTAAAGCTAAGAACAATGAAACATTAAAAGGCAATATTAAAGCCTATGACCTCCTCTTCACAATGAAGAGGAAAGTACCTGAAGTGCCACCAGGCTCATTTACCCTATACAGTGGTGCCCCGCTTAATGATTAACCCATTTAATGACAAAATCACTTCACGACGATGTTTTGCAGAACACCAAAAATGGCTACCGGGACACCCAAAACGGCCACCGGGACACCCAAAATGGCCGCCGAACACCCAAAATGGCCGCCGGGACACCCAAAATGGCCGCCGGAACATGGGAAAACATCAAAGAACAGTGAGTTTGGGGCCCATTTGGAACGCATTAAATGAAGTTTAATGCGTTCCAATGGGTTTCCCTGTTCCGCTTAACGATGTTTTCCCATAGCGAAAGTTAATCCGGAACGGATTAAACTCGCTATGCGGGGCACCACTGTATTTAAAGCTAAGAACAATGAGACACTAAAAAGCAATACAGTGGTGCCTCGCACAACGAGTGCCTCACACAACGATGAATTCACACAACGATGGCTTTTTCTGATCTGCCAAGCGAGGCACCACTGTACTAAACTGTGACTTGATAACTGAATCAGCCCATTGGGTAATGCTGTGCTTAGTAGCTAGACGGAGGTCCTGAGGGTGGGTGGCCCCACCATCAGTGGTCTGGGAAACTCTCTCACATTTGGGGGGGGTGACTCTTACCCAAAACAGTGAAGTTCACAGCTTGGGGATCCACCTGGACCTGGCACTCACCATGGAAACTCAGGTGGCGTCAGTGGTCCATACCACCATTTTTTATCTTTGGCAGATAGCCCAGTTGCATCCCTATCTTGATGTTGGGGCGTTCTCTACCTTGGTACATGCACTCGTAATCTCGAGATTAGAGCACTGTAATGCCCTCTACGTGGGGCCACCTTTGACCTTTGAGGCTGATGCAGAAACTCCAAATGGTGCAAAATGTGGCGGCCAGACTCCTTAGTGGAGTGAGAAAATATCATCATATTTCTCCTATTCTGGCCATGTTGCATTGGCTGCCCATTTGGTTCCACGTTGACTTCAAAGTTCTAATGCTCACATACAAAGCCCCTAAACGGTTTAGGGCCCCGATACTTGGCAGAATGCCTACTCCCACCAAAATCTACCCGTATCATCTGATCTAGTCAGGAGGTGAAGCTGAGGAGCCTGACGCCGAGGGAGGTCTGGAAGGAAAAAACAAGAAACTGGGCATTCTCGGTGATTGCTCATCGCCTCTAGAATAATCTTCCTCCTGAAATCCGTGCAGCCCCCTCGCTGGGCATTTTAAAAAGTCAATTCTCGGTGATTGCTCATCGCCTCTAGAATAATCTTCCTCCTGAAATCCGTGCAGCCCCCTCGCTGGGCATTTTAAAAAGTCAAAATTGAAAACCTGGTTGTTTAGGCAGGCCTTCCCTCCAGTTACTATCTGATTTATTTTTTCTTATTTTTTCCATCTTGAATAATTTGATTATTGATGTTTATAACGTTGTTATCTTTTATAATGTTTTATTATATGTGTTGGAAGCCGCCCATAGTAGTCAATTGACTAGATGGGCGGGGTATAAATGCAATCAATCAATCAATCAATCAATCAATCAATCAATCAATCAATCAATCAATCAATCAATCAATCAATCAATCAATCAATAGTATGTCTGAAGCATCAGTCTGAGAAGAAAACAGAGGTTACAGATGAAGGATTTCTGCATCATAAAGTGGCCTGCTACCAACTCCAAAGGCCATTCTTTTCCCCTGCCTTTCGGCATTCTTTTAGGGTATTCAGAGTCCTCCACTGCAGATCCTTATTCTAAGGAGCACGTTTAGGATACAACAGAACTGACATAACTGGATTTAACTGAAGCATCAGTCTGAGAAGAAAACAGAGGTTACAGATGAAGGATTTCTGCATCATAAAGTGGCCTGCTACCAACTCCAAAGGCCATTCTTTTCCCCTGCCTTTCGGCATTCTTTTAGGGTATTCAGAGTCCTCCACTGCAGATCCTTATTCTAAGGAGCACGTTTAGGATACAACAGAACTGACATAACTGGATTTAATAATGGCACTTATATTTCAACATTTCAGTATGTCACACCGGAGGTTTAGTGTCTGAAGTGAATCTGGATCCACAGATAAGATATACACATTCACAAAATTCAGATTATAAAAAACACATTAAGTTCCAAATGCAATGGATAAGAACACTAGTTGTGTGTAAAAGAATATACGTAACATATTTCTTACCAGGATTGAATGCATTCCCATATATATTCGACTACAGCAAACCAGAGAACACCAGCAGACAATAAGAATCAGACCATATATCAACGGATACTAGGGAGGTGAAAAAAGAGAAAGAATGCACATTTTTACTGCTAGAACATTTTCATGCATTTATTTTACATATGTAAGTTCTGTCATTATAGCTTCAAGACAGTTTACAAGAAAATTAAAATGTCATAAATAATATGACAACAATACTCAAGGCATTAGATGCAGTACTTTATAAGTAAAATAATAAAGATAATAAAAAGAACAGATAGGACTGATATTAGATTAAAAGGTCACAATGAATATGAACCTCATAGGTTGGTAAACAAAGGGGGGAAAAACCAGAAGCACCAAATCATAATAAAATGATGCCAAATGGTGTTAAACCCAATGAAGAAATTTGCAGCCTTCCTGGTATCTAAAAGAGGGCATTAGCCAAACACCTCCAGGGAGATAATTGTCACGCAATCTGCAAGTCACAAAGGGGAATCTTTCTCGTAACAGTAGAGCATCAGTACTGGGTAAGATTTGGAAGTAATGTCTGACTTAGAAATCAAAAAACCAAAAGTTCAATACAACTATAAAGCCTACAAGGTGACCGTAGTGATTTACATATAGGCATATTATGCCTGTTGTGTATACTTCTTGGACGTTTTGTTATTTCAACTTTCTTACCAAGCCCTGAAATTTTTCAGGAAAAAACAACAGGACAAAATGTTTTTCTATGTTTAACACTTACTGGGTACAGACCTCTCAGGACACAAGAGATTTCTCAGCTTATTTAACATCATAGTGCACTAATGAAGAGGGCAGTAAAAACATCAATATTAATGGAATACTAGACAGGGCAGAGTTTGACCATACAATCAGGCAGCATGAGTGCTAATATTTTAGTAGTGCTCACTGTAAAGCTAGTATGAAAAGAGAATATGAATCCACACCATACACTGATGTTAAAATAATAATAAAACAACTGTGGAGCCATTTCTCACATTAAAAAGAGCTATCCCATGTTGGCAATCAAGTATGTATACAATATGATATACTACATGATATCTGCGGTGATGTTGAATACAATTCTGTCACACACCTTTTACCCTAAGGATCGAAGATCTCAGCAGGTCTAAGGTCCATTTTTCAGACTGGTCAGCAGCCCAAGGGCTGTATTCCCAAGGGGGAAAGATACAGATGAAGGAAGTGGGCAAAGGCTAATTTGATATATACAAAGGCTAATTTGATATAATTTGATATATAATTTGATATATATATATTTGAAAAAATTAAAAATGAATGAAATGGTTATGAACTGTGAACATTGTTGCAGTGGTTTTTGGTCACCTAAAAAAGGGTTTAACTTTAAAACCTTGTGTTTTAGAACATTTTTAAAGTATGAGATATGGAGGTCTGAGAGTAATAGGAACTAAAGCATGACAAAATTGCCCTCACATCCTCTACAGGGCACATTATTTCCTAAGCAATTTACCCCTCAAAAATGATATTTTAAAAATCTGGGAGCATGGGGGAGCTGTAGGGCTAATGAGCTGAGGGGAGGAAAATAGCCACAGGGGTTGCATGGGATCCACCCTTGCTTTCCATGGGTAATCATATCTTCGTATCTTTTGTGCCCACTCAGGAACATAGCTAAAGAAACCAAACGTCCTTCCTCTATATTTGGTAGTATAAATTTCATTATGCTGTCAAAATGCACTGGCTACTACAGTATTTGATAGCATTAACAAGAAATGGCTTTTAAGACACCAATAATTAATTGTTTTGAACTAGACAAAGAAATGTTTAAAGATTCATAGATTCTGACTGAATTTTGAGGTAGTCAAGGTAAAGAAGAGATAAAATCTCAAGATGAAGAAAATGGATTTCATTTTATAAACAAGGTCACTGTGGTAATTAAATATTTTGCAGTCTTCTTAAACAGCCAAACCAGCTGCTATTTTCAAAATCTTTGTAGGTACTGTTAAGTTACTGCATCTAAACAAGGGCTCTTCTTTGAATCTTTCCAGTTTTTTGTTCTTCTCTGCCTGTCACTTTCTTGTTGTTAATGTCAGGATAAGAGCAATTTCACAACAGAACTATTACAGGAGCCAAGGCTCTCCTTCATTGGACATCTTCATGTAGGACATTCAAAGATTATCTAGTTCTAGATTTCCTGCATTAAACAGGGAATTAGTGTGTTTTTCCGAAAATAAGACAGGGTGTCTTATATTAATTTGTGCTCCAAAAAAACCATCAGAGCTTATTTTCAAGGGATGTTTAATTTTTTTCATGCACAACAATCTACATTTATTTAAATATAGCCGTGTCATCTTCTTTTGGTTGCTGCCCGAGGGTGGAGGGCAGGGTTTCACTTAACTGGGGCTTATTTTGGGTGTAGGGCTTATATTACAAGCATCCTGAAAAAATCATACTAGGGTTTATTTTCAGGTTAGGTCTTATTTTGGGGAAACAGGGTAGGTGACCTTTAAGGGCACCTCCAACTTTATGACTGTATCCCAGCAGCCTTTTTCCCTCAGCGGCCAACTAGATGCCTTTGGGAAAGCCACAATTCAGACATCAGGAGAAAGGCCTTATGCTACTGGTTTATGTTCCCTGGCAGCAGATATTCAGAGGCAAGCTACAGGTAACATACCTGTACAATCATCATGTTACCACTGGCAGGCTTGCATTCCATTAATCTATCTATTCCTTCTACAATCTTGTAAGGCAGGGGTCCCCAACCTTTTTTCACCTCACGGACCAGCTGGGGAAGGCGGGGCACCCGTGCTCGTGCACATGCACAAACAGCGGTGCTGCACTTGTGCAGGCGCATTCGTGTACACACGCAAACTGCAACACGACACTCATATGGGCACGGGCATGCTCATGTGCATGTACAAATGGCCATGTGGCACTCCCATGGGCACGCTGAAGCATGTGCGCATGCGCAAATCAGCTGTGTGGGGGTGAGTGCGTGCAGGAGGCGGGAGGTCTGTCTCTGTGGCCCAATCCGGCTCAGACTGCGAACCAGGGGTTGGGAACCTCTACTGTAAGGTACTGGTTGCTACCTCGCCCAGTTGGGGCAAGTTCTATAAGCCTGTGACTACACGGTCAAATACCACCGGATTTGCTCTGCTTATAAAACTGGTGACTTCAAAGTACATACTATTTTTACTGACTGCATGATGCAAAGGCTGGTTCAAATCAGTTCAGCCTTTTTTGCTCCCAAGCCAGCTCTTCTTCTCCTCTGCTGGGGTATGGGGTGGGGCTTGTACTTTTTCAAACTGGAACTGTTTGAATTGGCTTTTTGCCCATGTGGTTAGTTATGATACATTCTTGTAAAGATGGGGGTAGTGTGTGTCTGTAGATGGTTTCAGTGACATAGGAAGTTGGAGTGTGATGTTCAGGACTGGAAGAAGATGCTCCCGCATTCATTCCTCTCCCAATTGTCCTCCAAATTTTTACATTCTTTAAAAAACATACTTGTACATATGTGAGATTAACACTAGATCACCCTACCACCTTACTACTGGTTCCTCATTATTATTTCACATATTTATACCCCATAAAAGGATCAGCAGGGGCGGGATCAGAGGAAGGAAGGAAAGACAGGGGACTGTGAGCTGGATTGCAAATTGCACTGCATCCAGTGAACAGTGAACTCCTGAATCAATTTGCAGCCCCTGCATGAGCACTGACTGTGATTTCAAATGTAATACAAGCTGTGAATCAAATCAGTGTAGCCCCACCCTAACTATGAGATGTGTGAAGAAGTACCTCCTTTTTCTTCTGTCAATCAGCATTTTTCTACATCCCCTGTATGTGCTATTCTCAGATGCTAGTCCACAGCACCCTGCTGCTAGACTCTAATACTATTCCTTAATTATTTTTTAGGGACTCCTTTTTTCCTTCATTACCTGCACACCCATCCCTGTTACTATCCCCTCCAACTGGTCTCCAGTGACAACATATGGGGAAACCTGGTCAATCTTATTTTATTAGCATGGATTGCTTTTATTTGTGCCTCATGCCACAAAAAAGTAGTAGTTAGCAGCAATGTACATACTTTTACCAAACAGGAAGCACAAAGAATTCAGACAAAAATCCTCACCACAGATTCACAGCTTTGAGAAAAGAGTTCTAGACTGTGCACAGCACACTGTACATTTATCACATTAAATTTATTAGCTGGAAATATTCCAAGGCAACCTAAAACCAAATAATAACATTCTGTTTGCACTGCTACAATATTTAGAGTCTGAGGAAGTGGCTTTTACTCAATGAAAGTTCACATGGAAACAGATGTGTTAGTCCTTAAGATTCCACAAAATTTAGTCCTGTACTTTTTTTCTTTTTGCCAGTTCCCCATCCCAATTAATTTTGTCAACATCCAATAGCTTAGATATAGGGCTATCTTTGAAAACAAGATGGAAATTTAAATTACAGTTGTGCCTCGACTTACGAACTTAATCCGTTCCGGAAGATGGCCGTAACTCGAAACGGTTGTAAATTGAAGCACCATTTCCCATAGGAATGCATTGAAATGCAATTAATCTGTTCCGGCGGAAGAAAAAAATCACCACCACCACCCCCCCCAAAAAAACAATGCAAGGCCCATTGGAAATGCAATTAATCCGTTCTGGCTGAAGGGTGGTGGGGAGAAAAGCAAGCAAACCGTGCAAGACCCATAGGAAAGGCAAAAAAAGCAAAGCAGAAAGCAAGCAAACCATGCAAGACCCTTCGGAAATGCAAAAAAAGCAAAGCAGAAAGCAAGCAAACCCCACAAGACCCATCAGAAATTGGGGGAGGGACCCAAAAAGCAAACAAACCCCGCAAGACCCATCGGAAATGGGGGGAAAACCCAAAAAGTAAACAAACTCCCCAAGACCCATCAGAAATGGGGGGGAACCAAAAAGCAAACAACCCCCCAAGACCCATCAAAAATGGGTGGAAAAACAAAAAAAACAAACAAACCCCGCAAGACCCATCACAGCATAGAAACATAATCCCACCACCCAGCCCAAAACCACACTGAAAAACGCAACCAGAACAATTTTTAAAAAGCAGAAAGC